AACACATTTGTGCAGGCCCAGCAGGGGAAACGATGCTGAGGGGAAACCAGCCTGGGTTTGTCACAGGTAGATCCTGCCTGACAAACCTTGTAGCCTTCTATGACCAGGTCACACACTGCCTGGACGGGGGAGGTGAGGCTGATGTCATCTTCCTGGACTTTAGGAAGGCCTTCGACACAGTTTCGCACCCTATCCTCATTGGGAAGCTAGCAGACTGTGGAGTGGACACCTACACGGTCAGGTGGGTGGCCAACTGGCTTAGGGACCGCACCCAGAGAGTGGTGGTGGATGGTTCCTTCTCAGCCTGGAAGGACGTGGGCAGTGGGGTCCCGCAGGGTTTGGTCCTCGGTCCGATATTATTTAATATCTCCATCAGCAATTTGGACAAGAGCGTGGAGAGCACCCTCTCCAAGTTCGGTGATGATACCAAGTTATGGGGCAAAGTTAGTACACCAGAGGGCAGGGAGCAGGTTCAGGCTGACCTGGACAGGTTGGATCAATGGGCACAGAGAAATAGGATGCAATTTAATAAAGATAAATGTAAGATACTCCACCTGGGAAGGAGGAATCCCCATCACACCTATTGGTTAGGGAGTGTCCTTCTCAGCAGCTCAGAAGCAGAGAGGGATCTTGGAGTCATAATTGACTCCAAGATGAACATGAGCCGGCAGTGTAACGAGACCATCAACAAGGCCAATCACACCTTGTCATGCATTAGCAGGTGCATGACTAATAGAACAAAGGAGGTGATGCTCCCCCTCTATGCGGCACTGGTCAGGCTGCAGTTGGAGTACTGTGTCCAGTTTTGGGCACCACACTTCAAGAGGGACACAGGGAATCTCAAGAGGGTCCAGAGGAGGGCCACTCGCATAATTAGTGGCCTTCGGGAAAGACCCTACCCGGGAAGGTTGAGAGAGCTGAATCTCTTCAGCCTTCACAAGAGACGGAGGGGAGATCTTGTGGCTGCCTATACATTTATTAGGGGAGGTCAATGGGGAATAGGGGAAGCACTGTTTACTAAGGCGCCCCAGGAAGTGACTAGGAATAATGGGTGTAAACTAGTTGAGAGTGGATTTAGGTTAGATATTAGGAAGAAGTTTTTCATTGTAAGGGTGGCCAGGATCTGGAATGGGCTTCCAAGAGAGGTGGTGCTATCACCTAGCTTGGAGGGCTTCAAGAGGAGCCTAGATAGTCACCTGGCTGGGGTCATCTGACCTCGGTCCTCTTTCCTGCTAGGGGCAGGGGGTCAGACACAATGATCCATTGTGGTCCCTTCTGACTCTACAATCTATGAATCTATGAATCGTCACCTACTACATGTTGCTCTCCCCTTATGAATTTGTACACCACCACAAGGTCCCCTCTCAGCCTTCTCTTGGAGAGACTAAAGAGGTTAAAGTCCCTTAACCTTTCCTCATAGGGCCTTCCCTGCAGGCCTTTAATCAGGTGAGTGGCTCTTCTTTGGACTCTCTCCAGGTTGTCTGCATCCTGCTTGAACTGCAGCATCCAGAACTGGACACAGTACTCCAGCTGCGGTCTGACCAGTGCCACACAGAGGGGGAGAATCACTTCCCTTGACCTGTTTGTGAAGCACCTACAGATGCATGACAAGGTGCGATTGGCTCTGCTAACTGCTTCATCACACTGGCGACTCATGTTCATCCTGGAGTCAGCAGTGACTCCAAGATCTTTTTCTGCCTCAGTGAAGCTGAGAAGGTCACCCCTCAACCTGTAGGTATGATGGAAGTTCTTTCTCCCTAGATGCAGCACCTTGTACTTGTCCTTATTGAATAGCATCCTGTTGCTCTCTGCCCACTTGCCCAGCCTGTCTAGGTCGGCCTGGATCTGGTTCCTCCTCTCCACAGTGTTAGCTGCACCCCATAACTTTGTGTCATCCACGAATTTGGACAGGGTGCTTCCCACCCCTTCATCCAGATCACTGATGAAGATGTTGAACAGCACTGGCCACAGAACTGAGCCCTGAGGGACTCCACTGCCCGCATCTTTCCAGGTTGACACTGACCCATCAACTACCACCCTCTGAGTGCAACCCTTGAACCAACTTGCTACCCAGTCTACCATGTAATCATCCAAAGCAAATCCCCTCAGTTTATGTATAAGTATGGCTACCGTAACTGATAAAACAATGTTTTACAATTAGTAAAGGTTTTGATGTTGTTTTAATACATAGCTTGTTACCTATGTGTGTGAAATATTTGTCGATGGTACTTAAGGCTGTATCATTTTAAATTGGTGGTATTCAGTCTGTCAGAGTTTGGGAACCACTGGCTTAAGAGAGCAATCTGCCAATAAAGAAAACAGCAGCTGTTCAGAGTCTATTTCTCTGCGTTACCAGGAAGAAATAAAGGAGTCCATTTTCCCTGGAGCGGCAGAAGCCTCACCTCCACCACCTAGTGGTAGATCATAGTTATAGCTGTGTTGCCATTTATTGTTATGGAAAGTGGATTGTGACCAGAAGGAAACCCATTGGGTTATACAGGGGAAACTGTTTTAAAGGGTTATAACAAGGTGAATTTACTTATTTAGGTAGTTTAACACAAGTGGGACTTCCCAGTGTGCTGGAATTATCCACCTAATGTTGTAGAAGAAAACCCCCCACAATTCGCACACCACTGCTTATGACATATCACCTCTCCCTCGAACCCATACAGAAAATCCTCAAACAATTGCAACCCATCCTAGAAAGAGACCCTATTCTTAAAGAGATCTTCCCAGAGCCACCCATCCTAGCCTTCAAGCAAGCACTGAACCTCGCTAACCTCATCACCAGAAGCAAACTTCCTCAGGCCCAAAACACACTGAATGGATCCAGACCATGCCATGACAAGAAATGCAAAACCTGCCAACACAGCTCCATCACTCCCACAATTACTACACCCCACAACAGAGCCATCAACATTCCCGGATCTTACAGCTGCACCCCAAGAAATGTAATATCCAATGCACCAAATGCCCTGAAGGAAAATACGTAGGAGAGACCAAACAACAACTGCAAACCAGAATGAATGCACACCGGAAATCTATCAAAGACAGGAATACGCAATTACCTGTGGGGGCACATTTCTCACAAGAAAACCACTCTCCTCAATCTCTCAGTTACAATCCTCAAAGGAAACTTACAAAACACTTCCCAGAGATGAGCCTATGAACTACACTTCATCAACTTCCTGGATACTAAAAATCATGGACTAAATATAGACACTGGATTTATGACACATTATAACCTACCTGACATCTGACTTCCCAGGTAGCTCTCCACTATTCATCCCCCTTCTCTTGAAATGAAAAGTAAAGAAGCCAGAGGCTGGGCTGGTATGCATACAAGATAGGCAATAGTTCTTCACTGACTGCCTATCTTGTATGCATATCAGCCCAGCCTCTGGCTTCTTTACTTTTCATTCCATCCAGGAAGAGCACACACCAACTGCTGAAACTTCCTCAGCCTGATGAAGGATTTTTGAACCCGAAAGCTTGCTTAAATATTGTTTTCCAACTATTTACATTGGTCTAATAAAAGATATCAGATTCACCCAAAGAAAATTGTCTGCCAATGTCCTTAGACCAACACAGCTATAACCTATACCCCTGTACCTGGAAAACACTATTTTAACCCTGTTCACTCTGAGCTGGTTCAATGTTTTATGTAAATACCAAACATTCCATGATATGCATCTGGTCAGTCCTCCAGGCATCCCACACTACATTACTCCTCATCCCCACCATCCTCCCCCTCCTCCCCTCCCTCTTCCCCCACACTGCTGCAACAGGTACACAGCCATAACTCTAATGCCATTTTCTTTTCCTTTTGTTGGCACTTAATGAACACTTCTCCAGATAGACACAAAATAATAGTACTGATGGTGATTGAAGTAAATTTTGTGGTATATGCATGCATATACATGCATATTGATTTGAGTTACTAGATGTTTCTAACTGTGAAGTTAAAAATTCTGTGTTTAAAATCAGATTAATTTCTAATGAGCTGTTTTGTGCCCTGTATTCCCCCAGATCTTCCCAAAAAACAGCAGGTAGTAACATCAATTGGCACCACCTATACTGCTCTCAAGCATGCAGAGAACTGGGAGAGCATTCCTGGTGCTCTGCACTGCCAAAGTTATTGCCAAGAAATTACAGGAATGCAACGGGAAGGTTTAATGAAAAGGTGCCACTATATACGCACTCTTTGCTTACACATGCACTGAAACAGTACCAATAACTCCAGTGTGGGTGCAGATGGTAACAAGATGTGCTTAGCCCTGGTCTGATATTAAGAAGTACAACTAAAAGTTTAAAGCATCTGCAAGTGTGGAACATTTCCCAAGGGCATCAGAGTTGAGAATGGCAAAATTCTCTATCATAGACAAAATGTGGACATAGCAGAGCCAAAAACCAAAGTAAAATGGATGAGCCGGGGTTCTTTTGCACAGCTTACCTGTCTCTGTGGACCAGTGGGCTCGGATTCCCGCCTCCGCTGTCGGATAGCTGGTGCTATGTGTAGTGGGGACTGAGCAGGACTTCCAGGCTGCTGTTCATGTTTACTGTCAGACACTGTTTGAGAGAGTCCTTCGTGCCTGTGTGAACTGTCCTCCTCAGTCACAGGCTGCATACTCCGTGTTTTCCCTTCATGGATCTTTGGCCTGACCACAGCTTCTGTGCTCAAGCGCCTCCTCTCCTCACCCTCTTCAATGGGTCTCAGCTCCTCAGGTTCTTCATCAGTAGTTCCCGAAGTACTGGGCTCAGCACCTGGGTGAAAGTCCTTCAGCTCAGTCTCCTTGTCAATGATAACCCACTCTTTACTATCAAAATCCTCCTCCTCTGCCAGGGGCACTGAGCGGAAAGCATTGCTGAGGGCTTCATGTTCTACTGACGCAGAAACATCCATCCTACCACTTGCCTGCCGGTCTGCTTGGCCAGTGTCAATGGATAGCATCTGCGCTGGCTGGGAGGAACAGACTAGTCGTGAAGGAGAACCAGGTAAATCCACTCGAGATCTGAAAACAAGAAAAAAAGCTCTTAAAAACCAGTAAGGTTTCTACCCAAGATTAAATATTGCAAGAACCAAGAGGAAACTGGGATGGTCTCATAGAAAACTTGAACAATCCCTCTGAATCCTTGTCCAACTCACTTAAAAATACAAGCCTAATTCTAAACCAAAACATTTCAATGTTTAACTATGCAATGAAATCCCATCCTGACCTGTTCAGAATAGACCAGTATCAGTATTTCTTCTTTTTGTACATTACTACATGAGAGGATTGGGGAGCACAGTGAGTTTCTGACTCCAGAGTACTTCTTCCTTCTGGGGAGAACATAGGGAAACATTCTCCAGGTTACTCTCTCTCTGCACAGTTCTGTCAGGTACACAGTTTCCTGTACACTGATCATTTGATCTTCAGTCCAGACTAAAGAAGTGCTTTGAAGATAACTGGAATGCTTTTTGCTCATTTCAAACTGGAGAGCTCCATAGGCTTTAACTGGAGAGCTCCATAGGCAGAACTGGTTCCAAGAAAAAGTGAAGGTGCAGGTGCATGATATTAATCCTATCTGATATGTAAGCCATCTTCAAGTATCTAAATGCAGGGTAGGGCTCAGTATTGCACATATGCAAACTACAAGTAGAGCAAATAAAGCAGGCATTTGGGATGATGAAATGAACAGACAGGAAATCAGAAGCCAACAGGAGGGCCACAGGCAACCCACAGCAGCCTGCCCTGATTCTGCAGCTTCTCTCTGGCACTGCCTTGCTGTACGCCTGCCAGTCCTGCACCATGCCCCTGTGCTGGGTGCTGCAGACAGCTGCCCAGGCCTAGCATCACCAGAACTGCCATGCAGAGGCAATGAGCTGTCAAAGGAGACGTGCTGGCATCATCCCCAATGCTAGACATGACCTACTAGGACCCCAACTGGTCCTAAGTGGAGACTGCAGACCTGATTACGCTGTGGGGTGAGGCTGAGGTCCTCAGCCAGTTTGTGTGGGGTGGGCACTCCAACACACACATTTAAAAGGGGCTGTTGGACTGTTTGTGGGAGCACGGGCACAGACAGTCAGTGCACCAGTGCTACATAAAGGTTAAGGCCTTGAAGGCACAGTGAGTCACTGTCACCAACCACAACCGCCTGTCAGGGACTGCCCACAAAACATCACCATAGCAATGCAACATAGTGGGGGGCTCATTGCTACAATGAGTGTCAGAAGCCAAAAGGAGGGCTGGGCAGATGACATATACCTACACTCAGAGTAAGGGAAAGGGAGTAAGGGAAAATGATACCCTAGAAGATGCTCAGACCACCAAAACAAAGGAGACCCAGAGAGTCACATGCACAAGTCTCACAAGGCAGAAACAAAGCAGGTTTATATAGTGTAAGCTCAGGGCCTGGCTTTTAACATCCACTCTTACAATTCACCCCTGCAAAATCTTGCAGTTGAAGATATCTGATGCTCCCTAGTAGAAAACTTCAATAGGGAATGGATGGAATGCTTAAAATTTCTGTTTATATTAGAGTAGTGCTTAGAAATTTGAGCCAAGACCAGTGGCAGGGATGATGGAGATACAATACAGACTCCCTCCCCAAAGCATTTACACTATGAAAGTCAACAAGCAAGGGAATGGGGTTGTAAAAAGAAACTGATTTGATCCTCTAGCAATGGTTGTCAACCTGGGGTATGCATATCCCTAGGGGTACTTAAAAGGGTCACGGGGAGTACACAGAACTCCACACATGTGCACGATGCTACAGTGCAGCTGTACAGGAGCACAGCCTGGCCATGCGGAGAGCAGCTAGGTCTGGCTGGTAAGTTTGTTGTTGGGGGAGGGAGTTGGGCTGAGGCAGGGGCTGCCTAGCCAGGGCCGGGGTACAGAACTGAGCCTTGCCGGGGGTGGCTCCTACCATTGTGCACACCCCAGGAGGCCATGAGGCACATGTGCCCCCGGATCTACACACAAGGCAGGCTGTGGCTAGGGCCACACCAGGCTCTTCCTGGCTGGGGTGTGGGCTGGACTGTGCTCAGAGTGGGCGGTGGTGGCGCTGGGAGGAGGGCTGGGGGGCCTACAGTGAATTCTGGGGTGGCTGCAGTGTCCCACACGCAGATCTGGGGGCACACGACCCCCATGCCCTCCCAGGGTGCACACAGCTGTTCGTGGCTCTGTCCCACACCCCAGCCCACCCTGGCTGAGCAGTGCCTGCCCCTGCCCGCCACAGGGCCTCGATCTCCTCCCCCCCCCCCAAAAAAAAAACAAGAAAAAAATATAAAGGGGTACATGAGCTGAAACTTTGAACTTTGAGTACAGAAGGGGTACACTTGTTGAAAAAGTTTGAAAACCCATGCTCTAGGACCTCCCATTTTCTTCTTCTACTCCCAGAATGGGCAATGAGGTTTATAAATTTCATAGACATTAGGGCTGGAAGGAACCTCATAAGATCATCGAGTCCAGCCCCCTGGCCAAGGGGCAGGAAGTCAGCTAGGGTCAAAGGATCCCAGCAAGATAACCATCCAACTGTTTCTTGAAAGTTTCCAAAGTAGGTGCTTGCACCACCTCTGAAGGGTCTATTCCAGGCCTTAGGGGATCAGACAGTAGTGAAGTTTTTCCAGCCTAAAATGATCTTGCAGGAGTTTGTGACCACTGGACCTTGTTATTCCTTGGGATGCTCTGGTGAGCAGGCATTCTCCCAGATCCTAATGCACACTCCTTATGTACTTATAGGTTACCACCAAGTCACCCCTGAGCCTACACTTCTCCAGGCTGAAGAGTCCCATGGCTCTCAGCCTCTTTTCATAAGGCCTGTTCTCTTGACCTCTGATCATGCATGTGGCTCTCCTCTGGACTCTTTCAAGCTTCTCCATGCCCCTTCTGAATTGTGGAGCCCAGAATTGGATTCAGTACTCCAGCTGCGACCTCATTAAGGCTGAGTACAGCAGGAGGATGACTTCCTGGGTCTTGCTTGAAAAGCATTGGTAGATGCAAGCCAGAGTTTAGTTTGCTTTTCTGGCTGCAGTATTGCATTGGTGGCTCATGTTCATTTTGTGGTCAATTGTGACCCTCAAGTCTCTTTCAGCCATGGTGCTAGTGAATGTAGCACTGCCAAGCCTGTAAGTATGATGCAGGGTTTTTTCCTGAGGTGGAACACCTTGCATTTCTTCGTACTGAATGCCATCAGGTTTACATCTGCCCACCTTGCAAGCCTATCGAGGGTAGCCTGGATCACCAGCCTATCCCCAAGTGTGGATGCTCTTCCCCAAAGTTTGGTGTTGTCAGTGAACTTAGCCAGTCTGCTTCTGACACCAGAGTCCAGATCGTTTATAAAGACGTTAAAGAGTACAGGTCTGAGAACGGAGCCTTGGGGGACACCACTGGTCACCGAGAGCCATGTTGATTTGGTTCTGTAGACTACCACTCTCTGGGTCTGACCTCGAAGCCAGTTCCCCAGCCATCGGACTGTAGGGTAATCAAGGCCGCAGTTGCGCAATTTTTCCATGAGGACTTCATGGGACACCAGGTCAAAGGCTTTTTTAAAGTCCAAATATATATCATCCACTTCCCCTTTGTCCAGGTGATGCGTCACCTGGTCATAGAAAGAAATGAGATTGGTCAGGCAAGACCTACCCACAACAAACCCGTGCTGGCTATCCCTCAGAATGTTGCCTTCTATTAGCCTGTCAAGAATGGTTTCTTTGATAATTTTTCCAAGATCTTTCCAGGAATTGAAGTCAAACTGATTGGTCCATAGTTTCCCAGAACTTCTTTATCCCTTTCTTGAAGATAGGCACCACGTTGGCCCTCTTCCAATCTTCAGGTACTTTGTCCAAAAGCCACAAGTTCTTAAATATCCTTGCCAGTGGCCGTGCTATGATGTCTGCCAGTTCCTTTAGCACTCTTGGGTGAAATCTATCTGGACCAGCAGATTTGTGGGTGTCCAGACTCTTAAGGTGTTCCCTCACAAGATCTACGCTAATGGTGGGCATTAGGGCTGTGTGACATTTTGCCACCAGCTTTGTTTCGATACTGTTTTGACCTGTTTCAAGGTTGATACAGCAAAATCGAAATGGAACAGATATAGTTGAAACAGCCTTGAAAAAAAACAAGGCAAGTCGAAACATTCCACTGTTTCGATGCTGTTTCGACATCCAACCGTAGGCTATAATGGGGAAGGACAAAACAGCCTATAACTTTTTCATTTCTGGCCTGATTTTGATGACACTTGCGAAATGGTAGCCCCTTCTGAGAGCAAAAAGCCTGCCAAGTCTCAAGGAGATAGATGCGGTGGGGTTGGGGAAACAGCACCCCAAAATTATGAAAGAAAAATTTGTGTCGTGTACGTGTTAAGCCACAGTGTGGTCAAAACTACAGCCATGCTGTCCCCTGCAGAGGCCACAAGGCCTGCCAAGTTTCAAGGAGATAGGTGCAGGGGTTTGGGGGAAACTGGACCTCAAGTTGCAGACAAGCAAAACTTGTTATGTGGGTGACACTGTGTGTGTTAAGGTGCAGTAGGGTGAAAGCTGCAGGCCTGCTAGCCCCTGCTGAGGCCACAAAGCCTGCCAGCTGTCAAGGAGATAGGGACAGGGGTTTCTGGGTTCTGGGGCCCTGCACCTCTAGCTGCTGACAGGCAAAACTCATGTCATGGGTGCTTGTGCAAGTGTGTTTGTCTTGGGGCACGGGCGGGGGAGGGAGGGGGGGGAACTACGGCAGGGCGGGAAACTACGGCAGGCCTGGCTGCTAGGCCCTGCTGTGGCCACGAAGTCTGCCAGCTATTAAGGAGATAGGTGCAGGGGGGTTCTAGGGCCCTGCACCCCTAGCAGCTGGCAGGCAAAACTCATGACATGGGTGCTTGTACAACTGACTGTGTCTGTCTTGGGGCAGAAGCAGTTCCCAGCTTTGTATTGATTCTTTCCTCTCCTTAGTCTATGGTTTGGTAAAATGTTAATCCTTGCTCATTAACTCTTTATCCTAGCTAGCATGCCTGCAAGTTTTATCCAAATCAAGCCAGAAGTGAC